CGCAGGCGGGGAGGGGAGGCTGGAGAGAGGGACAAGGGCGCGAAGGTCCACGCAGCATCGGGCGCCCCGGCCTTCAGGGAAAGCACTCGGGAGGGTCCGGAGCGTTTGTCCCAGAACCCAGGAGCCCGTGGACGGTTCTGAGCAGGTGAGGGACAGCCCAGATCTGGCTTATTTTTTGGAGGTGCCCGGGATGGAAGTTAGGGTGTCCTGAAGGATAGGCGAAAGCTCCCCACTGAGCTCCACTCTCTCCAGCCCATTTTATTTTATTTTGAGACAGGGGCTCCATCCGTTGTCCAGGCTGGCCTCAAACATTGGATTCTCCTGCCTCAGCCTTCCCAGTAGCTGCTATTACAGATGTACGCCATTGCACCTGCCTGGAATCTGGCTGGTTTCTGCCTGAATGTGGAAATCAGCGCTCTGGGGAGAGTCTGGCTGGCATCCTCAGAGCACATGGCTGATTCTCAGGCGGAAGGTAATTCAGAAAGGGGCAGGCAACCCCACAATCCTGCACAATCCCGGACCTGGAAATGTAGCCCAGAAAGTCACCCCAAAGAGACCTCCTGGAGTCTGTCCTTGGCTACAAAATATTCGGGCCACTGTGGATACTATGTGGCACAGAAAAAGAGGCTGTCACTGAGCAAAAAATACTAAAAGAAGCAGGGTATAGTGGCACAGGCCTGATATCCCCGAAGTGGGGTGGTTTGGAGATCAGTGGGGCTACATAACGAGACCCTGACTCAAAATGAAAATGAAAATGAAAGCTGGGTGTGGTGGTACCCGCCTGTAACGCTGGCACTCGAGAGGCTGAGGCAGGCAGATCTCCCTGAGTTCGAAGCCAGCCTGAGCTACATAGTGAGACCCTCAAAAAACCAAAACGGGGGGAAAAAACCCAAAAGGGGGGGATGGAACTCAGTGTGAAGGCCTTGGTTTCAGTCCCCAGTAGTGTAAACACATGCATACATAAATATCAAATAAGAAATTAGAGAAGCGAGAGGCAGGCAGTGTGCTCTGGAATTAAGCCCTAGCCTTTTTCATGTACATTTACTCAACTCTCTTTTGAGCCTGGTCTGGAAACCAAACATCCTCACCAGCACTTCCTAGCCCTGCCGCCAGGGGGCGCGCCGCCTCCCCTATTTTCATCACCCTTGATTTCTCTCCCTGTTCACATTTATCTACACAAGTCTAACAATCCTGTGCTCTCCGGGGTCAGGTACCAGCTTCTCTTCTTCCCTTCTCTGCTCTTTATTTGCACTCTGGCCTTTTTGTCCTGCACAATCTCCACCAGGCAAAATCTGGCAAGTTGCTTAACTTGGCCCTTCTGATTCATGCACTTCTTGTGGGCCGAAGGGTAGATTCTACAGCAAGCCTGGCATTTGGCACACGCCTATCATCGTAGGAGTCTGAAGGCCACGAGTTCGAGGCCAGCCTGAACTACCCTGTCTCAAAAAACCAAACCAAACCAACAAACAACACCAAACTCAGGGCACCTGCTCACCTGGGGCTCTCTCTGTCCCCGGTTCTTTCTTTGCACAGGCTGTTCCTCCGCTGACACACCCTTCCTGTCCAACCGTGCAGCTCCGCCAGTTCCCCAGTTCCTTCCGGAGGAGACGTAGCCTGACTGCCCAGGTACCCAAGCTCCCCAGCAGACGAGGGGTCTCCCTTGAGTCACTGCTTGGTGTCTTATGCAGATTTGTTGAGTGAAAAATGAAGAGCGAAAAGGTGGTGGGATAACGTTATCCTGGGTTTTTGTTATTTATTTATTTATTTTATTTATTTTTGCTTTTTGAGGCAGGGTCTCCCTAGGTAGTTGAGGCTGACCTGGCACTCACTATGTAGCCCAGGCCGATCTCGAACTCACAACGATCCTCCTGCCTCAGCCTCCCGCGTGTTGGAATGGCAGGCGTGCGCCACCCCGCCTGGCGAGTCCTGGTTTCCGGGGCCAGGAAACCGAGCTGAGCTCGCGGTGCTCTTGACCCCTGGGTGCGGGAAGGCTGCCCCGCCGTGTGGGTGTGGAGGTC